TCACCAAGATCGCCCTGGATAGTAGTGATGCTTTAACCAGTGTCAGACCCCACTATCCCACTGCCACTACCCGCACATATTACGTTTTCGGCGAATGATAAGCCCGAAACGTCGGTCGAAAAATTACATCAAAGTTTATCATCCCTTACCTTCAGCGTGTAATGCAAATACTGCAGGATTTCAACCAAGTAACAACTTGAGTAAAGTCCTACAGTTCTTGCACTACATGTCGGAGTCGAAACCAAAATGTGAAGATTTGTGACATTTGGTGCTTGAAACATGCATCATTATCCATTGACACGGCTTTACGTGGTTGATCTTTCAAAAGCAGAGGCACTAATTTCAACCAAAAAAATGACAGAAAAATTACCACAGCCGAAAACGGGACCGGTGAAACTATAGCATCCTCCTGTCGTCGCTCGCCGATAGCAGCAGCAATATTTCCACGTCGCTTCGATGCATCTTCGACAGACCCTTCCACCTCCTCCCTCTCCAGCTTGCTCGTACGCCTTTTCCTAAAAAACACTACATTTTCCTAACTGTTCGTTTTTAATTTACTTCCAAACCTTGCAAACTGTGCTGCCATTGACTTCTCTAACCTTATTGCGCTTAAGAAACAGCAAAATCTCTATACGAGGACATAATTCTTCGTCTCCCACCTATTCGGCATGTCAAACCGATCCGTTACTTCGAATGTATGGAATGGGGTGGATGCAGAAAGCACATATTTCCCGCCAACTGAACAGTTGTGAGCTGTATAAATGAAGATGCGACCTATAAATTAATAGCCATTCTAGGTGTCTCAGAATCCGTGTGTCTCGAATATCTGGAACAGGGGCTGATCCGACCCACAGACCATCACCTAAAAAATCCATAAAAACTGGAATTTATCATCTTATAAGCTTGGTTCTAGCAGTGGACTTTGCAAGTTTCTCCCCATCTGGTAATGTACAGACATAAATGAACAGCTTTTTGCATATCCTTTTCTTCATACTCAAAAAACATTTTTAAAAATCGCACAAATGGAACATATTTGGCTTTTCAGCAAACTTCCTCCAGAGATGGGCACGTGCTGTGAAATGGG